CTTCGTTAATGTTATAATTGTTCTTGTTATCACTGTCGTCATTATCATTATCATTTTTATTTTTTTTATTTTGTTGTTCTTGTAATCATTTTAGTGTCATTGTTAATTTAGTTTAATGTGATTTATCATAATTGAAATTGCGTTGGTATAATTTGAATAATCTCATGTCTTTTAATTATTCGACGTTGCTTAATTTTCATATTACCTATTACTACTTTTTATATCAATATTGCTAATGATATCATATGATGTTTTGTTTTATCATAATTTACTATTATTGATTTTCTATAATATGTTGCTGTTATGGATATCTTATTGTTATTCATTTTCATAACCAGTCATATTATTTTATTATTACTATTGATATCTAACAATATGATGGACTTTTCTATCTTAGTACTGTTTCATCATCATTTCCTCTTATTATTATCATTATATTTATTGTTATTATTCCATATATTCTTCTTAATGTTAATATATCCATAATGACAACTGGTTTTATATCTATAATTTACCCTGTTGTTATAATCATTATTTATGTTGTTGCTTTTATCATATGCAATGTATCATAGTAATTATGATTTTATAATCATTGTCATTCTTATTGCTGAAGTTGATGTTGTTTATATTTCTACTATTATAAGGATTAGTATTCTTTAATTGCCTTTTATTTTTATTATATAGAAATAATTACTGTTATTATTATTATTATTAATTATTATTATATTATTATTATTATTATTATTATATTATTTATTATTATTATTATTATTATTATTATTGTTATTATATTACTATTTTCTTCTTTATTATTATTATTGTTGTTTGCTTAATCGGTATTATTATTATTATTATTATTATTATTACTATTATTATTATTACGATCATCAAAATAGTAATGATTGTAATAATAGTAATAGTGATCATGATAATGATTTGATATTACAATTGTCTTTATTGTTATTATTCTTATTGTTATTATCATTATTACTGTTTGTTGTTGTAGTTTTTATTATTATTATTATTATTATAATATATTTATTCTTATTTTTATTCATATTGTTGTTGTTATTATTGTCATTTGTTGTATTATCATTATTATCAATTATCACCAGTATTGATATTGTTATTAGTAGTATTATTACTTTTTATTATCATTATTGTTATCATTATCATTTCCATAATTATCATCATCATATATCATCATCATCATCATCATCACCATCATCATCATCATCATCATCATCATTGTTGCTGTTGTTATTATTATTATCATTATTTTAATTATTATCATCATTATTATCATCATCACAAGCATTATTATTATTATATTACATTATCATTATTATTATTATATTATTATTATTATTGTTATTATTATTATTATTATTATCATCATCATCATCATTGTTATCATTACTACTACAACTACTTAAATTGTTATTATTACTGATATCATTATCATTATTTTTATCGTTATCATCATACTTCATACTATTACTATAATTTTCGTTATCGTTATGATCATAATTATTATTGTCATCATCATTATTATCAGTATCATTATTATTGTCATCATTATTAATCATTATCGTAATCATTGTTATTGCTATTATCATTATTGTTGTTACTATCATTATTACCTTTATCATTATTTATATTACTGTACCATTATCATTTTTATTACTGCTATATTTATCCTTAAATCTTTTTATCATTGTTGCCATATGTTTTCATCATCATCATCATCATTATCATCATCACCATCAGATATTATAATATTATTATTATGATTATTATTATTACGATTGTCATTATCGTCATTATCATTATTGTTTTTTGTTTGTTTGTTTTTGCTGTAGTTAATAGTTAGTATTTCTTACCAATATAGGATTTGTTGATCATCATATTGTTAGTGTTACCATTATCAGTTATTTTTTATGATTGTTGTTATCGTGTGTTCTATATGTTATTCTATTATTATTATTGTCATTAGTAGTCGTATCATTGTTTCCATAATTATTATTATTATTACTATTCTCATTATTATTATTATTATTATTATTATTATTATTATTATTATTATTATTATTATTATTATTATCATTATTATTATTATTATTATTATTATGATATTATATATTATTATCATTATTATTATCATTTTATGATTATTATACGATTTCATTACAATTGTTATCAGGATATTTGTCATTATTATGTTTCATTTCTATTCATACTACTAATATTATCATCATTATTATCATCATTGTTATAATTATCATCGTTATCATCATTTATTTTCAAATTATCAATGTTAATATTACTTTGATTTTTATATTATCTCTATCGCTAGTGCTATTTTTATTGATATCATTATCTTTGTCTTCAATGGTATCATCATTATCATCATCTTCTTTATTATCGTCATCATTATTATCATGACATGACATAGAAATGATAAGTTATGCAAAAGCAGAAATAATGATAATGATAATCATACAAAATAATAATAATGATAATTGATAATAATAATAATGATAATGATAATAATAATAATAATAATAATAATAATAATAATAATAATAATAATAATAATAATAATAATAATAATGATAATAAAAATAATAATTGATAATAATAATAATAAATGATGATAATAATGATAATAATGATGACAATAATGATAAAAATGATGACAATAATGATAATAATAATAATAATGATAATAATGAAAAAAAATAATGATATTAATAATAATAATGATAATAATAATGATAATAATAATAATAATGATGATAATGGTAACCGTACCAAGCTTAATTATCAGTAATATCAATCATAAAAATCCATCCCTTGATGTTTTGAATAAGACCAGTATCCTTTTTTGTTTGTTGTTATTTCTTACATTTTCTTTCATTTTGCGTATTTACCTTTTTATTAATCATCCTAGTCTTATTTTTATTTTCATTTTCTCTTTCCATGAAAATACGTTAATCAGTATATTAATTTTATCCCTTATTATTATTATTATTATTTTCATCATCGTTATTATTGTTATCTATTTTTTATCATTCTCGACTATCACCAATTACTCTCATTCCCATCTTTATCTCCCTCTCTCCCTAATTATCCTCAATTTTCTCCTATCCCACACAGGTGAACAGCAATGCCAATACTGATATTCCTTATTATTATTATATATATATTTTTAATTTTATTATAATAATAATAATATATATATATATTTTTATCATTCTCGACTATCACCAAGTATTCTCCTTCCCATTTTCATCTCCCTCTCTCTCTCTCTAATTATCCTCCATTTTTCTCCTATCCCACACAGGTGAACAGCAATGCCAATACTGATATCCCTTATTATTATGATTATATATTTTTAAAAATTTATTATAATTATTATTATTTTTTATCATTCTCGACTATCACCAATTACTCTTATTCCACCTTTATCTCCATTTTCTCCTATCCCACTACGTTTTTATTCCTTTTTAAAAATCATTCTCGACTATCACCAATTACTCTCCTTCCCATCTTCATCTCCCTCTCTCTCTAATTATCCTCCATTTTTCTCCCATCCCACACAGGTGAACAGCAATGGCAATATTGATATCCCATAATAGTTTTTTTTTTTTTTAGTAATTCTCGACTATCACCAATTACTCTCATTCCCATCTTCATCTCCCCATCTCCCTCTCTAATTATCCTCCATTTTTTCTCCTATCCCACACAGGTGATACTGATATCCCTTATTATTTTTTTTTTCTTTTTTCTTTTCTATTTCTTAAAAATAATTCTCGACTATCACCAATTACTCTCCTTCCCCCTTCATCTCTCTCCCTCCCTCTCTAATTATCCTCCACTTTCTCCTATCCCACATAGGTGAACAGCAATGCCAATACTGATATCCCTTATTATTATAATTATTATTATTATTATTTTTTTTTTTATCATTCTCGACTATCACCAATTACTCTCCTTCCCACCTTCATCTCCCTCTCTCCCTCTCTCCCTCTCTAATTACCTTCCATTTTTCTCCTATCCCCCACAGGTGAACAGCAATGCCAATACTGATATCCCTTATTATTATTATTATTATTATATTTTTTAGAATTTTATTATAATTATTTTTTTTAATCATTCTCGACCATCACCAATTACTCTCCTTCCCACCTTCATCTCCCTCCCTCCCTCCCATCTCTCTAATTATCCTCCATTTTTCTCCCATCCCCCACAGGTGAACAGCAATGCCAATATTGATATCCCTTATTATCATTATTTTTGTTTTATTTTATTATAATAATTATTATTATTATTATTTTTTTTGACCATCACCAATTACTCTCCTTCCCACCTTCATCTCCCTATCTCCCTCCCTCTCTCTCTAATTATCCTCCATTTTTTCTCCCATCCCCCACAGGTGAACAGCAATGGCAATACTGATATCCCTTATTATTATTTATATATATTTTTGATTTTATTATAATTATTATTATTAATTTTTATTATTCTCGCAATCACCAATTACTCTCATTCTTACCTTTATTTCCCTCCCTCTCTAATTATCCTCCATTTTTTCCTATCCTACACAGGTGAACAGCAATGGCAATATTGATATCCCTTATTATTATTTTTATTATTATTATTATTATTATTATATATATATATTTTTATTTTATTATAATTATTATTATTATTTATCATTCTCGACTATCACCAATTACTCTCCTTCCCACCTTCATCTCCCTCTCTCCCTCTCTCCCTCTCTAATTACCCTCCATTTTTTCTCCCATCCCCCACAGGTGAACAGCAATGGCAATATTGATAACCCTTATTATTATTTTTTTTTTTAATTCTTTCTTTTTATCATTATTTTTTTAAAAATCATTCTCGACTATCACCAAATTTCATTCCCACCTTCATCTCCCTCTCTCTCTTCTCCCTCTCTAATTACCCTCCATTTTTTCTCCCATCCCCCACAG